GTTCTGCTCCTATGTGAATGATTAGTTTTGTGATTAAAGTCGCTTACTTTTCTGGGTAATTTTGTAAATCATAATCGCTTGCATTCTTCTTTCAAATTGTGTGATTTTTGGCGTTAGATTCACTTTAATTTCTTGGTTTGGTAGTGAGATCTCATTAGATTTTGTTTCGGCACGAGATTGTTTTTCTTTTGGTGTGAAAAATCTCGTCTTTGATGGTTTGAGTGATTCTTCTTGAGTTCAATGGTGGTTATATATTTCCTTTACGTTAATTTGATTTTGATGTTCTATACAAAATTACTCGATTCTTCTACCCTTTAGGTCTCTGATCCGGATTTTGTCTGAAAGACAGAAATGTTAGTTTTAGAACAGTGTGCATTTGCTTGTAATTTTTTTTGTCTGGCRGATTCACTGTAGTTTATCAGCTCTCTTATCTAATTTGAGATCAGTGTTGAATCAGGTAGCAGAAATGGAGACTGGTGCTGGTATAGGTTTGTACCCTTTGCACCGCTGCAAAACCATTTACCTAGTGAGTGATCTTTATCTCTTCAAGCTGAAATCTATGATTCTTAAAAGATTCAAGATGAGAATATAATGTTTGCGTCTGAGGTTTCGAGTCTAAATTTACGGGATGATGTTGAACTGCTTGTTTCAGGTGAGACATGCTCAAGGGATTCACAATGTCGATGGGGACAAGAACTATAAGGCTTACATGTCTCATGAGTATTTTGATGCAGAGTTGACCCAACTTGGGTGGCAACAGGTAAACATTAGATCTAAAACAGATTCAACTTTCCATTTTCAGTTCCTGAATGGATAGATTCTGTTGGTGACAGGTAGATAGTTTGCGTAAGCATGTTCATTCCAGTGGGCTTCACAAGAAGATCGAACTGGTCATCTCGTCTCCACTGATGAGGTACTTTAGACATGTGTGATTGCAAAGCTTTATCTTTATTTATGATGACCTATGGTTTTATGTGTCTTTGAAGATGTTAAAATTTGTTAACGAGATGTTTTGTTTTATATGTAGAACAATGCAAACTGCTGTTGGTGTTTTCGGTGGAGAGGGCTACACAGATATGAGTGACGTACTACCTCTAATGGTAGCAAATGCAGGAAATAGCAACCGTGCAGCTATATCGAGTTTGAACTGCCCACCAATTATTACAGAGGAGTCCTGCAGAGAACATTTGGTATGCCTTTTCAGTTTACTACATACTTATTAGCCTAGAGGGAAAGTAAATGGAACAGAATTGCATTTATCGATCTTCACAATTTATCGCGAAACTTCATGCTAAGAGCAAGTTTTTCAGTAAAAGAAAGTTTGGTCCTGTTTGCCATTTGAAGTGACCATAGCTGTTTTATTCACAATCTTAGATCTTGTCTCTTGCATCGAGTTTTCACCTTTGTAATTCATTTCTCTGGACACAGGGAGTGCATCCATGTGATCAGAGGAGAAGTATCAGCAACTATCAGTTTCTTTTTCCGGCAGTTGACTTTTCACTGGCAAGTAAAATTGAGAGTCTTAGATGTGCCTGGCATTGATTATTACTTGTAATCTTCTGGTTGCTCAGTTAGCTATTAGCAGCGTACAACTCCACCAAATGACTTAGATATGCACCAATTACATTTGCGTTCAGATAGAAAGCGACGAAGACAAGTTATGGAAGGCTGATGTTAGAGAAACAATCGAAGAACTTGCAGCTAGAGGGAAAAAGTTCCTGAACTGGTAACTTTCTCACCTAAACCCTGTGCAAAGATCCAGGAAAACTAGTTCTTTTTTCATAGATTGTGCTGAACTTGAAACGTGGAAACATTCTCTTAGCTTCCTAAACGCTGTTAGTTCGATAAGTAGAAGTTGGCATCAAATAGTATCAATCTTTGATAAAAGAAGAGTCTTGTAGCTCTCTGATCCGTGTAGAATTTGAGTGTCGTTTATCGATTTATTGGAAATGCTGATATAATCAGAACTGTGTAATATAATGGCTGGTTTTGGATTTGTAGGCTATGGACAAGGAAAGAAAAAGAGATAGCGATTGTAACACACAGTGGTTTCTTGTTTCACACATTGAATGCACTACAAAATGAGTGGCATCCAGATGTTAGGAAGGAAATCTGTAGCCAGTAAGCTCCAAACCCTTTGCGAGGAAATTTTTAAGAATAAGCTCAAGTGAGGAAATGTTAATCTATTGGGTTTATCATTTGCATTTGATTTGCAGCTTTGCGAATTGCGAGCTACGATCAATGGTCATCGTCGATAGAAGGTTTGGAATTTCTTCATTCATTTTTCTTGCCATGTGCTTCATATGAACATTTTGAACATATAAACCAACCGCAAGTAAAATCTCATGTTTTTCCGTGTTTAAATTCACAGTATGTTGGGATCGGACACTTCAGTGACTGATTATCCAGGAAAGATTCCAAAGGGGATTGATCTTCCAAGTGATGGTGTTGTAGAGGATAACATCAAAGGTGAATGATTCTATTTACATTGTCTTCAACTTTTCTATTTATCCATACTTAAACAACCCCTTCTTTGTTGTATGCAACTCTCTTACTAGTCTTATTATTATATTATGATAAGATTTTTTAAGATACTTGGTGACAAATTTGATCCATCTCTGCTTAAATGGACTTGTCTTGAGTAATAAGATTGTTTGTAACGTAAAGATAAAAGAAATGTTGTCCTCTTTTTGCATATCATCTTCTGAAAGGCATATATATTAATACAAAACGCAAATAAACTTGAACAAAACAAATACAATATATGGGTTTTTTTTTTAAAGTAACAATCGTCGACTGTTTTATCTACAACTACAAGACCACTTATTGCTTCTAATCTTATAAATGTCAGATTAAACAGGAGAAAATACAATATCAAACACGATCAATTAACAAGTAAACTTGTAAAATGCGAACATAAATAATATTCCTCCACCGAGAAAAAGAAAAAAAAAGTCCTTTTGCCTTTTCAGCTCTGTGGATAATCTTTATGGATTTTGCTTTGTGTTGAGAACATCGTAAAAGATAGCAGGTTTTTTGGTAAGTGGAGCCAGTTCCTGAAACACCACAACAAATTCAAGTTAGTAAAAAGCTCTTACTAGTAAGACTGTTCATACTAAATTGAAATCAGACCCGAGATCCGGCTCAAACTCTGTCATTTCTCGGGTCCGTCGACTTCAAAAGTTGGAAGATAAGTCTATAAAACAACACTAATGAGCCGAAGCACGTCAGGGAGAGAGTACCTCAACTGCAGCAGCTAAACCAAGGACGGTAGCTTCGGCCCAAGGTCTTCCCATTATTTGTAATCCTATTGGAAGCCCTTCCTTATCATACCCAACCTGCAAGAACGAAATAAGTAGAAGAACATGATAGGTCCAAGTTATGTTAAAAGACTAATAAAACAAAAAAAGTTATTTACCGGGACGGATATGGCCGGGAAGCCAAGGAGATTTGCAGCTACGGCAAAGCGCATTAAATAAGCTGGAAAAGAACCAAAATCTCATTATCACCAAGTTGAAGACTCTGATGTGTCTGTGTCTATATATTTGAAGAAAATAAACCAAAAATGAAAAACCTGTCACTTGAAAGTTGGTTTCTCCATTTTTGAGAGCATCAGGGGGTATTACAGGAGCTGTCATACTGTTTGTACAAGACAACATATATCAGTGATGTATCTGAAGAAAAATAGGAATCATATGTTTGATACAAAACCAAATCAAAAGGTTTAATAAGATATGAATGATCTATTCATGGAATATTTTACGTACCCAGTTGTAGGGGTCACAATGACATCAACGTTTTTGAAGATATCCATGTGATACTCCATCAATCTTCGCCTGCAACAACGAATTTCTAAATTAATATCGGCATAGGAAAATGTTTGCAGCAATCATCTGCTCGAGGCATGCAGTAATACAATTATCACTCTTGGCAGGCTTTCTAGTTATATAGCAAGTGATTTGTGGGAAAATCACTTGTTATATAACTTACTCCTGCAATTAGAAGAATCAAAAGTGAAAGCTTTGCAATTGTTTACTGTCGTTTACCTGATACATTGAGAAGCAATATAATCTGAAGCAGAGAATGACCGGAAAATTGCAAAGCTGGTACGAGTGTCATAAGTTAGTTTCGAATTTTTCCTGCAACATAAGACAATGGTTTTAGACCAAAGTTATAATTTGTTTAGTAGACCAAAGAGATTCACTGCTATTGAAATCAGACAAAAAACCTAAAGACATACCCAGCCTCACAGTAAGGAGTAAGAGACTTAAGTGTTGCAGACCCAATCGATACAACATGGGCTGCACGCATCTCTTCTAGTTCAGGAATCACTATCTCCACCACCTGCAATAGTACCACCATACAGAGATTGTAGCTGAAACAATATATTAAAAAAGAACCTGTATAGTGAGAGAGACGTATTGAAATGATCAGCTTACTTCACAACCATGATTGTTTGATAGGAGCTTAAGGATATCTTCGCATTTGTCAGAAATGTCACTTGACTTAACATCATTAAACCACTGCATGGATAATAAAAACAAACATATACCACTGAGATAATAAAAATCCAACTCAGATCAACTAGTAAGGATAGAATGTTCACCTTTGTATATTTCCCTAGTCGTAGAGATCCTATAGCATTGCCTCCATTGTGAGACAATAACTTCGGAAAACAGGGTGGTGTCTACAAAATAATTGAAAAGACTAAATCATATGGGAACATGTTACAAGATTATATGCCATTATCAGTTGATTACATAGCATACGATTACCATTACAAATAGAGATATCATGTTTTTCTAGGAACACAAAATGTGTACAAACTGAGACACTTCTACAAACGACTATATGTCATACTTCTTCGTTAAAATTTATACAGTGCTGTCTAGAATATATTATGGCTGAAAAAATTACCGGTTTCAAATTGATTCTATCAGCAGATGAAGAACCCAATATTGCTGCATACCTGAAAACCACACAAAGCTAGGTTTATCCGAAGACCAGACATCTGAAATAGATAATGTGTCACGAGTGATTTTTGCTTTAATCAGTTTTCTTTTTTTGGTTGCACTTCTACTCATATTGTTGTCTGCTTTACGAAGATTATCAATAATTGTTAGAATTGAACAACAACAGGAAACATTCACTGGGTGGGCTAATGTTAGTAACAAAGAAAAACTTACACTAAGAGAGAATCTTCCAGAGATGAAGTAAGTGGACCAATTATTTCCACTGTTCCACCTTCACATAATGACCTGTAGACATGACAGTACTCAAAACAATCATATACCAATTGCCATACACATCAGATCAAAATTTTGTTTTATCATTTACCAAAAAAACCAAATCTTTATTCTAATTAATGTGCCAATAAGTATCCACTGCAGCATATAAGGCTAGCCATGGACCAAGTGTCGCTTCTCAAACATCAAAATCTAAGAAGTTAGCTTGCTGATACAAATTAACACTAATATCTGAACTTTTAGAGCACCTACGAAGAATTCATGAGTAGTTCAAAAAATGATCCTTATGAGCCTGAGTGGTTTCCTAGCAACAATGACTTTCCATATTTTGAACGGATGTGAAATTGTGTTAAAAGATTCCAAGGAATAGAACAAAAGGCGTAATGGATTTCTGTTAGGAATCCTGATTCTCTTAACTCTTACCCTGTCATATCTGTCCGTCCATATGTTGTTTTCAGTCCCGTTATACCACAAAGTGCTGAAGGGGTGCGAACAGAACCTGCGTTTCCAGACACAACTAAGCAACAAACTAGGTATGCAAATCACAGGTCAGACCAAACAAATCAAAATAACTTTGTTACCTCCACCATCTGTTCCTAGAGCAGCTGAACATAGTCCCGAAGCGACAATAGCTGCTGGACCTGAGGAAGATCCGCCTGTGTACCTTTCAGGTGCATGTGGGTTTCTTGTGGTTCTGCAATGCAGCATACCAGAAAAAACAAAAAAAGTAGAGTGACTAAAAGGTGCAAGAAATACATTAAAGTAAACGGTACCAAGTAACAAAACAGTGTTATGTCTACCCGCAAGACAGATAGCATTTTTCATAAAAGTAAGATTTGTGTTCTCTGCTGTGTTGCTTACCCGTAATTCGCATTGTTCCCTGTGGTCCCCATGCCTAACTCATGCATATTTGCCTTGCCAAGTAAGATTGCACCACAACTACGCAGTCTTGAAACAACTACTGAATCTTTCTTCACAGAACGATCTTCATGCAGCCACGATGTTCCACCTATAATGAAGAACCTTATAACAGGTCTGTTGTATCTAGAAGTTTTTTAAAAAATATAAGAATGACATACTCACCGTTTGTTGGATAGGGTAAACAATCAATATCGTCCTTGATTGTCACAAAAATTCCATCTAAAATGGATATTGGCTTTCCTACACAGCACACAACCCACACCCAACATGATCAATACAAATCTCTAGAATCACATCAACTGAATCTGATACTACAAATAGATCTTTGATTGTGCATAATTACCTTCTTCAAACCTCTGTGTAGAAGCTTCAGCTTGCTTTCTGACTTCATCGGCATCAAAGCTAGTCAAATACGGCGTTGGAGGCTTGTCATACTTAAACTCCTCTATGATTGAGATTATTTGTTTTGCTACCTAACAATCAGCAACAAGATTCTTCGTTTGTGCCAAAATATCAAAGAGAGTAAAAAGGCTGAAAATTAAGATAACTAACCTCAAATGGAGTTGTTAGCTTAGATCTATAAGCATATGCATAATCACGTATCTTCCAGTACCGGAAAGATGACATCGAATCTCCCTGCAAGCTACGAGAAGGATCATATTGTGGAAGACACTTCAAGGCTGTTTCCAATCTCTCAATAGGACTTTCATCTTCTCCAACAATGACAACATCAATCTCCGATTCTAGATCAAAACCATACACACAATCAACATTTTTTTTGCGGATGACATTACCAATTAAAGCAACCTTACACAACATTCCATATCAGTATACAACATATAAAATAATCAAAGAATAAAAAAATACTTTGAGGCGGGAACTCCGGTCTAAACATTGGCTCTTCTGGTATAACTGTGTGGCGGAAAATCTGTCGG